AAGCACTGGAGCTGTCGGGCCGCAAGCAGGATAACGCTTACGGCCGACCACCCCAGTGTAGAGCCACCAATCCTGGCGACTGCTACAGCAGCCGTCAGAGGCAACCGCGCCCATGCCGTTCCCCTCCCCCTTGCCCCTCATCTCAGGGGACCGAGGGTGATGTCCTCCAGCCCGCAGTTTGCACTGCGGGCAAGGGACCCCTTTACTTCCTCAGGGGTTGCCGCCTCGTGCACTCCCCCGAGACGGATCTCCCCCTTCAGCACAGGGCGGCTTATCACCGCCTCCGGCAAGACTTCTTTCAGGCGTACCGCCAAGCGGTCCGCCTTTTCTCCGCCTGGGCCAGGGTTCCTGACCCTGACCAGTAGATCCCCCGCCATCGTTCTACCCAATTCAGCCTCAGGGATCCCTAGATCTTCCAAGGGGATCTTATCCATTGCCCGCCTCAAGGTCTCCGCGTAGGAAGACCCCGAGGCAGGGCGGATCGTGACCGCGGCTATCTGCGGCAGCCGCGGCCACTTCTCCTTTCCCGTTGGAACGCGAGACCCGGTAAGCCGGTGCACGGATAGCCGTGTCGACCCTGCGTCCCCCCGCTCCTCAGTCCCCATACACTTCCCCATGACATACAATGCGGGAGGAGCCGGGATTTGGATCGCGGAACCCCGCTTCCCCCCCCCCGGTCACCTCCCCCATCATCTCCACCTCCCTTTTTCCTTTTCCTTTTGGACACAGCGGTCCATACCGCTGCGTCCTCCTTCTCCTTGTTTTCCTTCACGGGTGCCCTGGCAGGTGAGGTGAACGGTGCCCTCTTTCGGGAGGGACTATCACGTGACGGAACCCCCCCGAATAGCCCGCCAAGGTGTCCGTCTGTATGCCCCTGTCCTTCCTTATTTTTTCCTTGCCCATCAGGGCCCCTGTTTCCGTCCTATCCTCTCCCTCTGTCTACATTGGGGTAGGTGGAGGCATCCCAGACATTTCTGTCTGGGTTGATGCCTCCACCCCTTCCCCTAGACCCCTTTCTTCCTGTCGCCTGAACAGGTTGTCCAAGTCTGTCAGGTTCCGTTCCAAGGCCTGCAACTTCTGGGCCGTCCCTTCCCTTTCCTTTTCAAGGAGATCCTTCCACTGTGCTCTCTCTTTCTCAAACTCCGCCTCTCTTCTATTTTTCTTCCCTTTAATGGCTTTACTCTGTGCAGTTATCTCTTCCATGTAACCACACAGCTCCTTCCTACACGTCTCACTAATCAATAGCTTCTTCTCAATCTTTTCTACCCTGTCCTCCATTGCAGCAGCTGCCACCACCAGTTCCTGCGAGTACTGGAGGGTGCGACTAAACACTTCTCGAAGTCTACCCTTTTGTAGATTCCCGAGACTGCGGTTCATTCCCCATTCCTCAATTTGTTCCCTTAGATACTCCTTCCATTCCCCCCATCTCTTTGCAGAGTAGGGGGGGTACTCCACCTCCTCTTCTTTCTTTTTTCCTCCAACGGCCCCTAACTCCTCCTCGTCCTCCGACAAGCTGAGGGGGTCACCATCATCGGAGTCCTTTCTCTGCTCCGATCCCTATGACTCAATCATCTCGGGATGCGCCTCTATCTCTGCGTCCAGAGACCGTACGGACTGCATCCTCTGCTCCAAGGGAACATCCTCCATCACCTCTTCCACTCCCATTTCAGACATGGCCTCGGATCCCACGAACCTCAGTAATTCTGAGGCAGGCGTCCCGAATAGCCCTCCTTTCCATGAGCCTTCCGACAGGCTCTCCTCCTCCTCCAAACCGGAGGTCCTCCTCCCCTTCCTCCCCTTCTTTTTGTTTAAATCAGCCATTTTGGGTTGTAACCCACCACTCCTGGCGGCTCGACCGGCCGGGCATGCCCGCACCACGGAAAAACTCCGTGGTGTCCCCGAGTTCCCCCAGGGAACCGATCTATGCCTCTGGCCCGGGGAGAGGCATCCCGGGCACTGGACTCAGGCCCCCTACACCCGCCCCACCCCCCATTGCTGGGAGGTGAGCCGGTTTCGGGGATCCCTGGCCTCCGACTACCAGGGAACCAGGGAACCACCCGAAGCGCCGCCACGCGGGGGCCCCGTGGAAGGAGTAAGGTCACCGCCGTCGCGACCCGACGGGACCCCTCCCCCACGGCAGCCAGCAATACTCCACCGCCCGAGGGATAGGTTTAGGGATGACGCGATCCCCATATCCCGGGCTCACCCCGGGGGGCCCCGGCCCCGACCTCGGAATACGTCCGAGCGGCCCGGAGCCTCCCCGCTACTCCGGGTATCGTGAAGGTCCTCAACCTCACGGTGTGCAGACCCGGGTGTGGCCCGTCCCTCAGGGCTACCGGAACACCGGCGTGCAATGCCCTGAGGGACGGTACCTCCTACAGGGTGAAGTCCTCTCCCTCCGACTGCCGGAGCACCGACGTGCAATGTCGGAGGGACGGTGTCTCAACCCTTCTTCCTAAAAATGGTCGAGGATGACCAACTGGTCATCCCGCCGTAACTACCCTGGGTGCTCTTATCCAGTCCCTCAGTGCAGACCACTCCGGCATGGTAGAACCTGCCAGGGGCCAAAGCTCCCGCCGGCACAGCTCTGCACATCACTAGGACCTTCAAGCCTCCCCATCACGACAAGGTGGCACCCGCGAGGAGGTGCAATCAGTGACCTCGAAAACTCCTAAGTACTAATTTTCAGACTGATTCAAATGTTTTTAATTGACATAAGCAAATCAACTTCTGGAAATTGGAGATAACCCACTAATATAAACACAATCTAACCAGAATTGCGAGTAATTAACTATTTTTTTTATTAATTATCAAGTTTAATTGACGATTAATATAAGCCCATTCAATTAAAAAGATTTTAATTGACCATTTATATCAACAAATCTAATTAAAAATCATTCAATTAACGATTGATTTGAAGGAATTTAATTAATAACCAATGGATCAACGATCAAAATTAGCAAAAGTAATTAAAGATTGTTCGATTAACGATTGAACATAGTCAATGTAATTAAAGGCTATTTAATTGACAATTGATATAAGTAAGTTTAATCGAGAAGCACGGTAAGACAATTGACCAATCGATGTCAATTCAATGTTTACTCATTACTTATGATAACCAACCGAGCTGAATATAACGTGATACACAAGAAGTTTAAAAAACTTTGATCCGTTGTGTGCTTCGGTCACAAAAGTGTCTTTTAAACATTATATGAAAGAAAAAATGTCGACGCAGAACATCATTGGACGAACGTAAGTATCTAATATATATATATGTATACTCAGTTTCTTTTTAACATTTAACATATATTTAAACTATACATACAGACATTTAAACTATATTTTTAATTACTTTTTATAGCGTTTTATTAATTATATTTACAAATGTAACATGCATACTTAAAAATATCTGTTTTTCATATTTGCAGCGGTTATTACTCTTTTCTCAAACGAATGGTCTGACAATTTGTTAAATTTTGCGATTTTTATCATTGTAGCGTACGAGAACAACCTCTCTACTGGTGCCGAGGAAGGTAAATATGTGTTATATTTAACAAATAATTTTTTTACTTGTGGATATTCATGTAACACATTTATACTTAATTTAGTATTGTTCAAAAAGCGCATTATTTCTATTATATCTTCACCTTCAGATGAAAAAAGGTGTGATTGTCTATTAATAATATGGGCAACATTTTCGCCAAAATCATAGAAGTCGTCTAACAATATATTTTCTTCTAATTCCAAGTTACTTTTTCCGACCTAAACGCTGTAATAATTAGTTGCTTTATTTTGGCTTTCTTTTCGTTATCTAAGCAATTCAGCCAGCGATCTTTAAATCGCGGATATGTAATCGCAACAAGTGCCGCTGCTCTCTTCTCCTTGACCGCGAATTTCAAAAAAGTCATTGAACCTCTCAAGTAAACGTAACTGCTTTCTTCCACCAACTTTTTACAATATATCAAAATATTGCTTCTAAGCATTGTAGTCCACTTGTTATTTATGCTTAGCAGCAATGGCGTTAAGCAACCATAGTAAGCATTAGTCTCGGCTTGAGCCTTATCAATTGCAATAGCCAAAGGTTCCATAGATGTTAAATAATTCCTTATATAACGAAATATGCTCCCTGAAATCAACTTCAAAATTTAAATAATGTTGTATATTAATATTGGTGAGTTTATCTTGCAATGAGATTATTTATTTAAGACAATTATATAAAGAATTCCATCTTGTAACAACAGGACGTTTTAAAGTGCAATTTAGATATTTTTTCAAGGCCTCGCGATTTTTCGGTGATCTTAATTTTCTCCATAGTTTTTCGCATTCTCCGATTGCTTCTTCGTGCAAGCGTTTTAATTTATAATCTTCTTTTATTATTTTTATTGCGTCACTAGATGCGATTAGATTTAGTGTGTGACTCATACATCTTAGATGTCGAGGTAAGATAATTTTAATTTCGTCATTAATTTCCTCACTAACCACATATTCGTTATGAACATGATCGTAATTATTGTTGTCATCATCATCATCTTCATCATCATTATTTTCGTTTGTTTCAATAATGTTTCTGTCATTCATTTCAGATAAGTCGTTTATTTCCATTTCTGTGTCAAGATAATTTGTACTTGGGCTTTCATTTCTCGAAATGGCATTACTGCTTAAGCCAAACATTCGGAATGCTTTTATAAAATTAGACCCATTGTCAGTAACTGTAGCTACTATTTTTTCTTCAAACAATCCAAAAAATGCATGTATTCTGGCTAGTTCGGCAGCAATAGCTTCAGCTGAGTGAGTACCTTTTAATGTTTTGCATGCTATAGCAGCAGATTTTCTTTCAAAAGTTTTGTCACAGAGCTATAAAAGATAATCGTATTAGATAAAGTAGGAATAAATTTTCGATTTTGTTAAAAGTCTAGAAACATTTACCCAGTGAGCCGTAACGCCGAGAACTCTACGATCAGGCGCAGTCCACACATCTGCTGTAGTACAAACGTGTTTGGTATTTTTTAAGTGGTTTTTTATGACTTCTATATGCTCGTTATAAAGAGCGTCAATTCTTTTAGTTAAAGTGTATCGAGTAAGATGTTTTAAAGTTCCTTCACCATTTTTTATTTTGAAACCTGTAAGATGAATGCATTATTTTAGAATATTATTTTAGAGTCTTCAAATACATCAATGACATAATGAAAAAACCTCTTAAATATTTGTCTGTTATTTACTGTTAAATATTTGTCTAAATGCTGGAAGTTCAACAGTGCTGAATGGTGACATGCTCTGTAATATAGCATGTGATAAGCAGTGACATTTTTTTCAAACAGTTCTTCAGTGAAAAAGCGCATGTTGTTCTACGATTTACGTTTGATCTTTCCGCCAACTGTCGTTTATCGTTTTTATAAGTTAAATATTCGGAGCATAAGTCAGGATGTTTTCTCTGTAAAAATAAGAATAACTATTAAACTAGTCTCTCACTATGTATTCCTTTAAAAAAAATATATGAAAAGTCTTGATAGATGTACCTTCAAATGTGTTATGTAATTAGAAGATACTTTTAAACTCCCTTTAATAAGTTGCTTAGGCATGCAATTAGTACACGCGGCATATACTATGGATCCATCTTGAGACGATTTCCCGAAATCTACGTCAAAAAATGTACCGTCTAAATATGGAGTTTTATTACACGCAATCCGTAAATTTAATGGTGTTTCCTCTGCACGATTATCCGTTAACAAATCGATCTGTTCATTATTACTATAAACATGAACATCTTTGTTAATCACCTTATTTTCATAGAAGACAATAATGGTGTCGACTATACGCGAAAAAGGATAAGTCGGTTAGCGCATAAAAATCGCGAAAGCGATAGGCAGGACTCGAAACAAGAATATATTTGCAATAACCAAAGTATCATAAATTACTGATTTTAATATATATCTATTATACATTCGAAACTATGCTATTTGCGAAAAAACGCACGAAAAATTAATCAATAAAGAACGAAGCATATTGCGGACAAAGCTAAAGGATCTAACAGGAAACACGTGAATTGATTCAGTGTGTGTATATATATATATATATTAGATATTTACGTTTGTCCAATGGAGTTCTGCGTCGACATTTTTTCTTTCATATAATGTTTAAAAAACACTTTTTTGACCGAAACACACAAAGGATCTAAGTTTTCTAAACTTCTTGTGTATCACGTTATATTCAGCTCGGTTGGTTGTTATGAGTAATGTAAACATTGAATTGACATCGATTAATCAATTGTCTTACTGCGCTTCTCGATTAAACTTACTTATATCAATTGTCAATTAAATAGCCTTTAATTACATTGACTATGTTCAATCGTTAATCGAACAATCTTTAATTACTTTTGCTAGTTTTAATTGTTGATTCAATGATTATTAATTGAATTCCTTCAAATCGATCGTTAATTGAATGATTATTAATTATATTTGTTGATATAAGTGGTCAATTAAAATCTTTTTAATTGAATGGGCTTATATTAATCGTCAATTAATTAAATTAGAAATTATTTCCTTAAATCAATTATTAAATTGAGGAGAATTTAATTAATATTTTTACAACTCTGAATCTAACTAACTAACAATCTAACACTAATATAAACACAATCAAAAAAATCTCAAACACACAACTTTTCCGGGGATTCCAGAGGATTCTAATAGCATCATCGTGTTCAGCAGGTCAAAAACTTAAAGAAAAAGTATATTTCCTGCGAAAAATGGCGAAACATTGTTGATAATAATGGAGCATATTTGGTTTAAATAAATTCATTTTCACACTATAAGAAAACCAATTGAATTTTACTAAAAAAACGCTACGAACTTTTCCTAGACCCAATATTTACCTTGCCGACTTCTTCGTAGCAGAATCGAAGTAAAAAATAATGTCATAGTAAGCAGTCCCGCATTTACCAACAACTCATTAAAGTCGCTTTTGAGTTTTGTTAATTTTTTGTTAGTTTTGTTCCGTTTATTTTTTTTAAATTTGATTTGTTTTTATTTGATTTTTTAATTTGATTTTTTTATGATTCTGACTGCAGATACGTAATCATTAACCCGAAAATCCCCAAGTAGTCAGTTTTAAGCTGATTAAATATTTTTCAGACACTTCATTGATAAACGGACAGTAAGTGTTTGCGACCGCCATTTTGGATCCGTCATTTTGGAATTAGAAATTCTGACTGCAGATTTGTAATCAGGGACTTTGAAAAGTCCTAAGTAGTAATTTCCAGACTGATTCAAATGTTTTTAACTGACGTAGGCAAATCAACTTTTGGAAATTGTAAATAACCCACTTATATAAACACAATCTCAAAAATACAACTTTCCCGGGGTTTCCGGAGAATTCTAATAGCATCTTCGTGTTCAGCAAGTCGAAAACTTAAAGAAAAAGTATGTTTCCTGCGTTTGCCAGGACGAGGAAAAATAGTCATTTCGTTTTTAGACCTATTACTCTTCAATGGTTTTCTGTCTCTCTCTGCTGAACAAAACGTTTCCGAAACAAAGCCTTTATGGAGTTTCATACCTCGACATAACCTATCGATAGAGCCCAAATACATTGAAATCGGTGAGGGCTCACTTCTTGCGGTTCCCTTGTGAGATAGGGAAGGGTCCGTTATTTTTGGGATACTTGGTATAATTAAAATTGAGCAATCGGATATGAAAACTATGTGAAACTAAATATTGTAATAAGTATTAATATATCAGAAAAATGTGAGATTATATATTTAGTTTAATTGTAAACAGTACGTCTTAAAATAGAAAAAAAAGTGGTAATACTTACCACTGCCACATACAAAGGGTTAAACGAAGGATCCGCGAGACAACCCTTGGATGTTTTTCATCCTTGAATGGTATTCCCAACTTTCCCCACGCGAGAAGCGGATAATGTAATCTTACTCGAAGGTTGAAAAATCTGTTGATTAGAAAAGCTTCGAGGTATTTGTCCGAAGAACAAGTGCATCGAAAACAGTCTCGATAATAGAGTTCAACTGGATAAGTTTTCGTTTAAGAGCAAATCAGTTTATTTGCGGGATATCTATTAGCATAAATTTTCATAATATGCCTCATGTATCGATCTCGAGCACGAGTGTATCGTTGAAAATATTTCTTCCGTGAGCGTAGCTACACGTAACAATGCTTAATGTTAAACGATGAAGTCCGCGCGTACGTAATAATACATGGCGAAAGTTAACGGAGCTTCGACGGGACAATTGTAATACAGCAGCAATGGCGGTACGCACAAATTTATGTAGACAGCCATATTGATACTTCTTATAATCAGCATACAAATAATCCCATAGGTTGGTAAGCTAGGCGAGAACGTAGTGACAAGCGCGTTATGTCGGTCCCGGATTCCCGGCGTACAGGACGCTTCACGTTTAACATTAAATAAAAGTCTCAGCCCCGCGAGCCCGCATACTTTTCTTAAGGCAGCGCTAACGTCGTCGCAATTTGTTAGCGCGTTTATCGCCGACCGCGATCTTTCGCGTCTCTGATATTGAGCTGCCGGAGGTTTCTGATGCACGTCGAGCACAGATATGGCTCGAAACATCGCGAAACGTGAAGAGGGGAAACGCTCGCCCGTTTCGCCCCTGGATCGCGGCTCCGCATGCGATCAGTCTCGATCAAATTCACGATATCAAAGTCTCATCGGATCTCCCCACGTAAGGTAAGGTCGAAGCGTACATCATATTTGGACGTGCGTCCACGCCCGCGGGTAGGTAGATACGCGGAACCAATTGCGACAATTGCGGCTTTAGGCATAGATTTGACATAATTTTGATAATAATCGTGCGAATTGTCGTGTCCCCCACGTTGTGCTGGTCTGATTGTGACCGCGTTTGATGCTAGTTGCCGTGACAGAAGCGCGACGATCTCGACACGTCCGCCGGATAATCCCGTCGAGAGGAGCCCGCGGCGAATGAATTACATACGAGATGTTATAAATTAGCGTGCTATTCACTGCGTACGAATCCCGCTCGTATCAGCGCGATCACGATTAACATTGGAAGGTCGGCATGAGTCAGGATGTCGGTTCTCCGTCGAGCGAGCTAGAGAAGGGCGAGTTTCTTCCGGTGGAAGAAAAGGAAACCGCACTCGCATCGCTGTCGCGTACCGATCGAACTGCCTCTGACTTCACTTGAACTTTCATTTCCGGCTGATCGGTTTCGCAGAATTTGCATGCGCCTTGACACGCGTCGACTTTTCCAAAATTAACTGGCAGAAATGGCTCTCGTACTCAAATGTAAACGTAGAGTTCACGCAACAACACTGTATTACGATTTAACGCGTTAGTTATCGATCGCGCAATATGTGTCTTCCTCTCGAGAAAAGTATAGGGAATTTTGAAGGTTAGAAATACCAGCAACGTGCACGTGCGTGCGCGCTTGCATACGCTTCGTTCTGTTTCATCGGTTCTCTCGCATCGATAAACTTCACGAAGTAATGCCAACTTGTTCGCGATTGTAAGACGCTGAGGTCCGCTGAGGTGCACACGACAACGTAAGCACTAAGACGTAAGCGATGAGCGATCTGCTCAATCATAATTGATTTTTTTCTTTATGTTCTATGAATACTGTGATTGGCTAATTTTCTTAGCATTTATGTCTTACTGCTTACTTTTTCGTGTTTGGCACATAGGCCTGATGCTGTTTCACGTGAGAATGACAACAATAAATAAATACATAATAATAAAAAGAAGAGTACGCTTTAGCCGGTGTGTATACGTGTGTTCTTCATGTGTATCGCGGGAAAGTTGACAATCGTTCGCCGTGTGCGGCGAATATGTGTATCATATTCTGTTTCGCGCGTGAAACGAAAGAGGAGCACAGATATTGTTGAACCGTAAAGTTTATACTTTATTATGCATGATAAAAAAATAATACTGCGACTATGTTCGTGTATTACTGCATTTGTTGGTAGGTGAAATAAAAAAAAACAAAGAGAGAAGTTTAATGTAAGAGAAGTAAAGTAGTCCTTTTTACAATGTATAAATCCTCATCATTTGTATAATCGTAAATCAATAAAGTTCATCGAATTTCATATCGTTTACTGTGTGTGCATGAACTGTGTGTGCAACTGAAACATTTATCACGATCGTGTATTCTATTAGGAGTATGCAAAAGTTTCCATCGTTCACATATAGACAGCATCGTGAATTATTTATATGAAAGTTACGACGCATTTTTGTTAGATTACGTCAATATTGGTCAACCTGCATAGAAATTGATGCATAATATTAAGTGAGCAAAACAGTTCTGGGCTGTAGATACAATCGAAACCACTATTTAAATTTTACTTATTTTCCCGCCTTTTTGCGGTTTTAAAGCGTTGACTTTTGGCCTCTTAAAATGCGGTTTGGCGTTTGATGCACATAACCTCAAAAATCAGTAGTGTTCACGATAACGATAATCAAGGTTCGTAAATAGAGGAACGGAACAAAGTTAGATCCTCTCACGGCCGCCATTTTGGAGCCAGAGAATCTGTATTGGTGTACGTGATACTATGTACATGTAGTATTATGTAGGTTTAGTTGTGTGAATGAACAGAGTAATCAAAACATGGTTTAAGATGTAATCAGAAGTAATCAAAACATAGTTTAAACACATTCTAAAATACCAGTGAGAATTTTTAGAAGAAAAACAATTACAATGTCGACTGTAGTACAAAAATTGCAAAAAACGAAAATAATTTTTGACCTGACGGTATGTGGTTAATCAGCTGAGCCACGGTCCCCATCATTTTCGAGCCAAACCGTATGAAGTGAATGAGAGGACCTAACTTTGTTCCGTTCCTCTATTTACGGACCTTGGCAATAACAAAAAAGCATATTTGATTTTCCATTCACTTTACGTTTTATCTGAAGAAAAATGCCGCTGAAATGATTTGTGCTGCATATGGTAAAAACGCTGTAAGTCATTCTACGTGTAAAAGGTATCAAAAATTTCGCCAATGAGATTTCAATCTTGAAGATAAACCACGTGCTGGACGTCCTTAAAGGATTGAAACGGACAAACTGCAATTATATCTAGCAAGACCACATATTGCTAGATATAAACTGCGCAAACTGAAAAGGAGCTTGCAGAGCAGTTTGGCGTTACGCGGCAAGCTATTCTCGTATGTTTACATGCAATGGGAAAGATTCAGAATGAAGGATAGATGGGTTCCGCATGAACTATTCGAAGACAACAAAAATCGACGGCGTGACACCGCAGTCATTTTGCTTTCAAAGTTCTGGAAAAAACATTTTCTACACAAAATCATTACAGGTGATGAAAAGTGAATTCTTTATGATAACCCCAAGCGCAAAAAATCATAGGTTGACCCTGGTCAATCTTT